ACACACACACACACTGTACACAGAGGATTTCTACTTGCTAATCTACTTACTTAATCCACACTGTTTATAAGGGGTTTGCATGTGAGCATCCTGGATACCTCCACTTCAGTAGGTTATAATCATTTCCATATGCCCTCTAATCATTCTCCCTCACTCCCACTCATAAGACATTTTGCAAAATGAGCACCATGAGGATGGCATGTTAATGAACGTGGGATAAACAAGCAACCAACAAACAGGGGAGTCATTATTATGAATTATTAGGCGGAATTTATGCAGTCTCTTTTCTTAATGGCATATAACCTTGAAGCTGTCCATTCTCTCTCAATTCCCACTTACACACACATATACATAATACATATTCACACCACACACACACACACGACACACACACACACACACACACACACGATTTGTAGACAGGGCAATGCTCCTGACTGCTTATCGGGGCAGGAATTCACTAGTCCTTGGACATCCAAAATGCATCACAGAGTTATCACATTAAGCGAGTTAACCCCTTGAAACCAGGACGTGAGTCATGTTCACTGTAAAGTCTCAATGAAGAGTGTTTGAGCAATAGCAGGGTTCTTCAGGGCTGCACGAACCAATAAGTTTCCTAGAAACGTCTCATACTAACATGCCATCATCTTTTCTACTATGTTTAATGAACTTCCAGTATCTATGGCTCTTGTTAGATGTAGCTGTAGTTCTTCAGTTTGATCAACAGGTGTCAGAGAGCACTCCTCTTTTTCTATATCTGGGAGTGAGCTCGGGATTCCAACTGTGTAAAACCAGCTGGTCTTTGATCACTCATTCATTCTGATCCAGAGCTAAAAAATAATCAGTGTTGTGAAAATGGGACACGGGCCTGGTTACAGTGGAGGCTAGTGAGCTTAAATTATGTTGTCCAGAGAGCTACAGACGTGGTACAGAAATCTCAGTAATCTCAGAATCTTGAGACCTGGTTGTGTGAGGAGTTTGGAGCTACGAGTGGGGACAAAATATTTGATGAAAGCTTTGGTGATATGTTACAGTAGGGTCTGGTGTAAATACAAATTCTTGTTCATTTTTTTGAGAAAAAGGATACTTTAGTAGTAATTCAAAAATTAAATGAACATATTTTTTGTACAAATAAAAGAAGAAATCAATATTTTTATGTCAATTACCTACCCACACATAGTTCTGGAATGGAAAAAGGCAATTTTTCATGTTTTTAAAAATCTTTTAAATGAGATAATTAGCACCAATTAGCAATCAGTGATAATTACAGTACTTGTTTAACATTGTTGAATGCGTGCAGGACGTCTTCAGACTCATTTAAAGAAGTAGAGTTTAAATGTTGAACTATTTTGTTTGTCTAAATGTTCATACGCAAAGACTTGAATACAAATGTCCTCAAAGTTTCAGTTTTATCTGAGTGCTAATACACTAAGTGTCCAGACTGCTCTGTCCTGAGTGGTCTAAACGGCGAGCACACTGCTACAAAAAAGGAAAAAGATCTTAGGAAACTGTGCAATCATTTAAATGTTTTTGTTCTAAATGTCTCAACATTATCTCCAGCTCAGTAGCTAAAATATGTTTACAACAGGCAGAGCCGCTCACAACTTCCACCCTTCATGCAATTCCAGCAGATTTTTTGGCCTCCACCAACATCAAAGCATCCCTTTCAGTGCCAGCTGGACTGCAACAGCAGTGGTGGCGTTGACTGAGTGTGTGTGAGTGTGTGTTAGAGAGTGGGAGACTTGGACTAAGGCCCAGCCCTTGGCATATTTGTGTTTATAAACACATCTTCACACACCTTTTTCTCTGGATTCTGTGACGTTTATCCAGAAGAAGAAGGTGTTG